ATGATAAAAATGTGACGATAATAATAATAATAATAATAATAATAATAAGCAATTTATATTAGAGTATTATAATTACGTTTAATTATTTAATTACAAATGCAAATTAATATTAAACATGTATTATTCAGTTGTGTGTAACATCGGAAATATAATATAATTTTTTTATAAGGCATTTTCAACATTTTTGCTCTAATTTTATCAAACTCTCATGTCTGAAGATGAGAATATTCAGACATGATACCAATATTTAAAGTTAATGACGAAATAGGCTGTGTATATAAATCTTCCACTAACACAAGTACTTTGCCAATAGCATACATTTTATTGTCATTAGATTTAATGAAATTTAAAATTGACATTATTTGTCCATTTTCAAAAGAAATGCAATTATTTTTTGGATCATCACAGTTAATATAATATTGATTATTGCAAAAAATTTTATATTGTTGTACAGAAATGAAATCTTTCGTAATAGGACCATCACAATGAGAGCGTGTAAAACATTTTTCCATATCGTATGAATTTGAATATATTTTGAATGTTTCATTATTATGTATTGTCTCAATTTCTGCAAATCTTCTTGTTAATTGCTGTAATGGTTGGTTAGTTTTACGAATTAATTTCTTTAACGTAGACATATAATTCTCAAATTTAAATGCACTAAATTTATCCAGAGCACCAAATTGTTTTACGTCTGCAGCAAGATGTAATAAATTATGAATATTATGTGAAATATATTTAGAACCGTAGATAACTTGAAATGATTTTACAAAATGTTTTAATAAATTTTCTGCATATTCTATAATAGAAGTTTGATATGTTAAAGTAGGATGTGCAAGAATTGTGATTGCTACATGTAATGTTAGAAAATTTAAATATACATTTTCTTGTAGTATTCCTTTCAATATAATAGGACCTGTATATAATAAAAATTGCCGATATTCTGTGGCTTTCCAATGTTTGATATACTTTAATGATCTTGGTTTTCGAGCAAAATCAGAAGGAATATAATTGCGTAACTTTATTAGTTTCTTAGAAATTTGTTCTTTGTCTGAATTTGATAATCTTATCTTAAGTGGTCCTGAAAGCCATAACATAATAAGTTTACGCATAACACCCAAACATACCAGGTGCATATAATCTAGTGGCACATTTGTAACTAAGCCTAGATTTGGTATATTTTTTAAAATTGTGTCACCAGTTTGATAATCAAGATTATAAGATCCAGTAAAAAATTCTTTATCATTACGTAACATCATATTAGATGTGTATGGAAAACATATATGTCCTTCTATATTATCACCTTCAATAATGCATTTAGTGCAACTATTATATCCAGTGTGTCCTTTTACATTTAAAATAAATGATTTAGCAGGAGCGTCACAAATTATTGCTTTAATTTCGACTTTTATGATCTGTCCCTCATAATCAATCCCATTATTTATAAAAGCAATAGCATCACCTACAAACATTTTTAAAAACTCATTTGCATTTTTTGGTTTTCCTTCACCATAATATAAGGCAATGACATATACATTGTTTATAATATTATCTGCACATAATATTGGCCATAAACTCTTTGTGGAAGACTTATATATAGGTAAACCATCAATATTTATAAATAATTGAATGTTATCAAGAGCAAAATTCAATCTTTTACGTTCTTCAATAATTTTTAGAAGAGCTTTTTCGAGACCTAAGTGGCAGTAATCTCCGTTTTCAATTTGTATAATTTCAGTTGATTTAGGAGTTTGCAATAATGTACGTGGATCTTTAGGCAAAGTATAATTAGTGTGTGTTTGCAATATCTGTAAAAGGTGACGGAGTGATTTGAGTGATATCTTTTCTTCAATAGCCCATTTACTTATGTCATGTATAAAAGTTTCGTTATCATTTAAACACAGATTTTCATAATTGTTATCGACTATAGCTTGCAGCTTATTTGCATCCGTGTAATTTTGTATCATACAGGCATTATTTTCATTCAGAAAGTTAATATTATTTTCATCATAATATTGATTTAGATTTCTATCTGAGTATACTTTATCAGAATCACATAAAGACGAAGCATTCTCATCAACAACAATTAGTTGATCATTATTATTATTAATTATTGCCATAGAATCCGCAGAATCAGTCTGATGAGTTATCATATTCATATCTGTTACTGTGTTTCTTGCAACTAATCTTCGTTTATGTCTTGCACTATAAAATATTGAGTGTTTTCGTTTGCGACCCATATTTTTCACAAAATATATTTTTTTTCCTAAATATACATATACAATGAAAAAAAGATATCTTGTTACAATAAATATGAAAAAAATATAAGACAAACATAAGATAAAAAATATTGTATATACTAACCTTAATTTTTATGTTGATGTTTTTCACTTTGTTAAATCACTTCTTATTGCTAAGTGATCTTCTGAGATCACTTATTTTGAGTCAAAATGTCCTCTTATGCAAATAAAAAACACGTGCTGGTACACCAACAGACTGCGTATACGCTGCAGAGCGTTTTGGGCAACGTGTACGCGCCTACACGGTCACGCTTGCATTAGGATTAGGTAAGATTAGGTTACATTAAGTAGCGTCCATTAACGGTGACGTGTTGATTCTTTTACTTTTAGAACAAATCAACGTCAAGTCTTGACAAGATGACAACTTAGCAGTCATTCTGCTGAACGCGACTATTTTAAAGAAAAATATTTCAAATAAAAGTTGTTTGATTCAAAGGAGGTCATAAAGTAGATGATGCCCTTTATTTGATGAATATTTTAAGAGATATTTGAAGTGGTGTACGTGTTATTTTAAATTGGACACCCTAATATATATTTAGTTATAGCAGTAATAAATATAAATAAATAAATATAAATTATTTATTAAATATATCATAAATTAAACTTTATTTTTCTAATTTTAATTGTTGATCGTCACAGCACAACATCTTTATGATGTCACTGTGACATTTTCTTGCTATGACAGATTTTTTATCATTATTGTTACATTTCGTGATATACTAGTTATATCAATGTGACATTTTTGATGATATCACTGTAACATCATAAAGATGTTGTGCTGTGACGATTAAATATATATTTTATCGTCACAGCAGAACATCTTTATGATGTCACTGTGACATTTTCTTGCTATGACAGATTTTTTTATCCTTATTGTTACATTTCGTGATATACTAGTTATATCAATGTGACATTTTACAATGATATCACTTCAATTGTGATTAATGATATCACTGTTACCTTCCAATAATCTCACAATGACATCACAGTGACATTACATTTTTTTGTCACCTTGTGACTCTATTGTGAGCTTATTGTGATGTCACTGTGACATTTTTTGCTATGGGGGATATAATTAACTTATAAGATACATAATAACACAAATCGCTAACACAACTAATATGGTCAGTGCTGTTAATGTGGGCAATAAGAAGTTTTAGTAATATATATAAGTTATCATCTAATTGCATTCATTTATCGCTAAATAATTTTAATACAAGCCAACATTTTAATATAAAAATATTAATTTCTCTTTGATTTTAACGTAAAAATAAAAAATTCATGAATACACTAAATACACAAGTAACTATTATTGTGATACTTAAAAAATGATAAAACTTATTGACGTTGTTGCTTTGCCTGTAAAAAATAAAAGTAATAATAAATATGTTGTTATATCGAAAACTAAAATATACAAGTAAAACGTAAAACATACTAGTTCTCTGTCGTAGCGCGTTTTTGAGTGCCTTAACCAAGCTGACACATAGTTCTGAAATTGTTTATCTGTCAAAAATGGAAAGTGTTTTCTAGTCGATCCTACAAATGTAACAAAAAAAAAGTTAATATAGTACCGGTACAATTATTATGCTATTAAAAGCATTAATTTTTTATAATTATATATTTTTACATTTCTATATACGTTTTAAAATGTCCATAATTATTAGTGTGTTCACTTCGAAGTTGCCTTTGCGACCCATCCAAGAACATTTTGTACCCAATTTATTAGTAAATATTTTTTCTAGTCCAGCTTTTATTTGATCGTGGGGAGAAGTGCCTCCTAATAAATAGACAAATGTTTCCTACGAAAAAAATGTAAATACATATATATATATATACAATTGTTCGAGCCTTTTCTGGTAAATATTGAGCATCCTTTTTGTCTATTTTAATTTCAATTAAAGTCAGTTAGTCAGAAGGAAAAAGGTTAAATATATATTTTTTAAAAATAGATATCAGTAGTTTTGGCATATTCAACAATGGTACAATGAAATTATAATGAATGTTATAAAATAATCCTAGTTTAATCAAGCTTGAACAATCAAAATTGCTTTTGAAAGCAATTTCTTTCTAACCATTTACATTATTTTACCAGAGATTTTTTATGCACGTTGCGTGGTTCTCTTGATCGAGAGTGAGCTTGCGTTCTCTTTCCGTATCGCGAACGCTTTTAATTATGGATTGTTTTTTGGGATCTTGAGATTGGCGGTTAAGGAGAGAGGCAAAGCCGATGTTCACTAAGCACCGTCACGTATTTTATTGTACAGAAGCACAGAATAATGGATACTGATTATCGGAGCGGAGCGTGATCTCTCGCTGCCGGTCGTCGTCGGACTGACTCACAAACACCGTGCCTCGGCGAGGTCTCGGCGAGAGAGCGAGAACAAAAGCCAATTTCTGACAAACAAAATTCCTGAGCTCGCACATACAATACGAAGATTCGAGAATCGTTCTCGAATATGATTTTCAATTAATGATCGCAGAAATCAATAAGAGTTTCCGCAACATACCGCCCGCTTTGCATGCATCCGCATGCGAAATGAGTACCGAAATGGCAGAGAACCTTGCTCAGAACCGTGGTCTCGTAACTTTATTATACATGGATAATCAATTGAATCAATCCAATAATAGAGCTTTAACATTAGCTTGACCCAATTGCCGCAATGCTTAAACCTAAAGAATATACAATGCGCATAGTGTTGTTTATTTTACAGAAATCGACTGAGTCGTAGAGCGCGATAAAGAATCACAGTTAGCAATTGGCAGCTTGCATAGTTGAGTAATAGGGCGCTGAAGTAAGCTGGTTGCTGTACGAACAGTTACTACGCGAACGAGACCATCCGCGCCTGGGTGCACTTGGACGATTCGACCAAGGTTCCATTTTGCAGGAGGGAGTACGTTATTTTTGATTAAAACAAAATCATTAATCGCGAGATTCTGCTTGGAGTCACGCCATTTGCTTCGCTGCTGGAGGGAATGCAAATAGTCGTGAGACCATGTATGCCAAAACTGCTCGTGCAGTCTCTGCACAAGCTGCCATCTGCTAAGTGCGTTAAGATGTATCGTTGATACAGATTGTTCGGGAACGCTGACGAGCGGTCGACCGATCAGAAAATGACCAGGCGTCAACGCGGTAAAGTCCGAAGCATCATCCGACATTGGCGTCAATGGCCTTGAATTTAGGCACGCTTCGATTCTGCATAATAAAGTTTGAAATTCGACACGAGTTAGCACATGCGTACCGATTACGCGTTTCAAGTGATACTTCACGTTTTTTACATTGGCTTCCCATACCCCGCCGAAGTGCGGTGCTGCCGGAGGGTTGAAGTGCCAGGTAATGCGGTCATTGGCAATTTGACTTTTCAGAATAGGATCCTGAATAATAACGCGGAAAGCATTTCGCAGCTCCTTGTCGGCACCTATGAAGTTCGTGCCGTTATCACTGTAAATGTGGGATGGAAGCCCACGTCGACTTGTAAAGCGAGACAGGGCAGCGAGAAAACCTTCTGTCGAGTAATCATCTACACATTCGAGATGAATTGCCTTAGTAGTGAAGCATACAAAAATTGCAATGTAGTGCTTCATGGTCTTTTGACCGCGCGCTGCCCGCAAGGTCAAGGGTATTGGTCCGGCATAATCAACGCCGGTGCAGGTGAACGATGCGGACGGCGCAACTCTGTGTTCGGGCAATTGACCCATGAGTTGGTCTGCGGTGACGGCTCGGTGCCGCTCACAAGTAATGCAGCTTCGAATGTACTTTCTAACCTGAGAACGAGCGGAAATTATCCAATAACGTTGCCGTAATATGCGAAGCGTTAACTGAGTGCCGCCATGAAGGGCGGCCGTATGTGCATTAGCAATCAGCAACTGTACGATTCGATGATCAGCCAGAATGATCGGGTGACATTCCGAATAGGGCAACAGAGCGTTCTTCAACCGCCCACCTAGATGTATTAATTGATCTTGCCCAAGAAATGGGCGTAACGAGCTTAGTCGGCTTGATTTTGAAATAGAAACTTTTCGTTTTAACGCTGACAATTCTGAAGAAAACAGTTGGCGTTGAACTTGTTCAAGCCAAAAGTGTTCGGCATGATGGAGTTCGGCCGCTTCTAAAGACGAAAGATTCAATGAAGTCCCCTGTAATCGGTTGCGTAAATTGGTTACAAATCGAAATAGATATGCTGTAACCCGTATCAATTTTGTCCATGTTGAAATGTCGTTCGGGAGATTCCATGTAGTGACATTGTCGGTAAGATGCACCGACGCCGAGGAGGATTCCTCCAGTAAAGCGTTAATCGATATGTCTTTGCTTGTCGATTGAATTGGCCACGTCGAAGAATGAGTGCGGAGCCAGGACGGTCCAGAAAACCACAAAGAGTGATTCATAAATTCGGTAGCAGACAAGCCGCGCGAGGCGCAATCTGCCGGATTCTCAGCTGATTTGACATGATGCCATTTAATTGTGGGAAGAGTGGTTTGGATTTCCGATACGCGAGTGGCGACATAAGTACGCCACCTTGAAGGGTGTTGAGTTATCCAAGCTAGGGTAACAGTGGAGTCCGTCCAACCGTACACAGGAACGTTTGACAGATTGAAAGACCGATAAATCCATTTAATCAGTCGACTGAGTAAAACTGCTGCGTTGAGTTCAAGTCTAGGGATACTGAGCGTCTTAAGAGGCGCAACCTTGGTTTTAGCGCATAGCAACGTAATCTGAACGTCGTCAAAGGATCTGAGAACGCGCAAATACACCATAGCGGCGTACGCACGCTTTGATGCGTCGGCAAAACCATGTAGTTCCATTCCTAAATTATCTCGATGCGAACCTGTCCATCGTGGAATTTTAATTGTTTCGAGCTTGGGTAAATCAGAATAGTATGAAATCCAGTGCTGGAGAAGATCAGGGGGGAGCGGATCGTCCCAGTCGATTTTTGCGAGCCAGAGCTCTTGAAGCAAAATTTTAGCCGTAATTACTACGGGCGACGCCCATCCGAGTGGGTCGTATAGCTTTGCAATCAACGACAAGACTGAGCGTTTTGTGTTCGCACCAGAGGTGCCAGAAGATACCTTAAAACAGAATGAATCAGTGTGCGGCGACCAAGACAGCCCAAGCACCTTCAGTGAGTCATCGCTTTTAATAGCGAGATCCGATTGCCGCCTATCAAGCGGAATGTCTGCCAGCAACTCCGAAGAGTTTGCAGTCCATTTGCGTAGATCAAACTGGCCACGCTTCATGAGCGCAATGAGTTGATCTCGAGTTTTGATGGCGTCGGAGATTTCATCCGCGCCGAAGAGAGTATCATCAACGTAGATTGAGTCGCGAAAAATCGTTTGTGCGAGGGGGAACTCGTGCCCGTCCTCCTCGTTTAGTTGTTGCAATACGCGCATGGCTAAATATGGAGCACAAGCGGTGCCGTATGTAACGGTATTTAATTGGTAGTGATTGATATGTGCACAACCCGGGGGTTGCCACAGTATTCGCTGATAATCTCGATCTTCATGATGGACCGAGATTTGTCTGTACATTTTCGCTATGTCAGCTGTGTACACGTATTGAAATAATCGCCAGCGAAGAACTATTGCGGCTAAATCTTGTTGGAGTTTTGGACCGATCATAAGATGGTCGTTTAATGAAGTGCCGTTTGATGTACGGCAGGAAGCATTGAACACCACGCGTAGTTTCGTGGTGGTACTGTGTTCGCGAAGGACAGCATGATGCGGTATGTAAGCCGCGTCCGAAAGATTAGAAGTGGAGGGTTTGATCTGGGTCATGTGACCCAGCTCCTCGTAATCTGCTAAAAACGCATGATAGAGCGTTCTAATTTCAGACTGTCGTGACAGCCGATTTGTTAATTTGGCGTGAAGCACTGAAGTGATTTGAAATGATTCACCTATACTCGGCGGTGAGCCATTCTTAAACGGCAATCGTACCACGTAGCGGCCATGTACGTCGCGCTTGTGAGTTGCAGCAAAATGTTGCTCACAACGTTGTTCGTCCTCCGTTAGCGGAGGCTTGGAATCAGAAATTGTCTCGTCTGTCCAGAATTGTTGGATGACGGGAGCGAGGTCGTCTTCAACGACGCAATTGTGAACGTCAGCCGGAGGATGAGTTGCATCCGTGGGGCCTGTTGGTCCGGAGAGTATCCAGCCGAACAGAGTGGACTGCGCTGTCGGGGTCCCAGGCGGGCCATGACGAATGTCACCGATTAGCAGAGCACCGTATAAATCGGCCCCGATTAGTAAATGAATTTGGTGGGCGCTCGACGGATCAGGATCTGCAAGTTGCAATCCGCGCAAATGTGGCCATGAATTTATTTCCCGGATCTGAGAGGAAGCGTATGAAGTGATTTTTTCATAGGCGTATGCCCATAACGAGACGGATTTTCGCGGATTGAAACTTGGAGAGAGAGATATGTGAACCCGCGAGCGAGCCGACCCGCTGTATTTTTCCCCGAAGCATCGAATCTGCAGATTAGCGCGTTGACGCCTGGTTCGCAACGTTTGACATAAAGATTCGCTTATGAAGCTGTATGTGGATCCCTGATCCAGAAGGGCACGCACCAGTGTAGTACGTCCTTCTTGTGTCCGCACGATTACCCACGCAGTAGCGAGGAGAATATTCGCAGGCGAGCGCGTTTTCGGCGATACGGATTGTACCGTAGCTGTGACGGGAGACGCCCTTTGTACGAGTGTCTCTGATTTCGTGTCGGGTAATTGCTGAGACGCGTCATCCTTCGATTCGGCTTTAAATAATTTATGTAATGTCGTGTGATGTCGTTTCTGACATCGTAAGCATCGACCTCGTGACATACAGACGTTCGCGGAATGACCTTTCCGGAAGCAATTTCGACACAACTGTTTCTGGTCGATAAAATTAATTCGTTGATCTATCGATCGTGCGAGAAATTTATCGCATTTCGAAAGCCAATGAGTTCCGGAACATTCAACGCAGTTTAATGTAATTACATTATTGACGGTACCGCGCGGTTTTCCATTGCGAGAATTGGACGCCGAATTTTCTATTGACATGCCCTGATCGGTCAGTCCACGGATGCGTACGGTCATAAAATCATGAATTTCTTTATAAGTCGGGCATTCCGACAGGCTACCACATTTTAAATTCCATTCGGTTTTAGTTTTAGAACTAAATTTGCGTGATATCAAATAAACGAGTAGATCATCCCATGATTTGACCGGCCGATCAAGGCTGTCTAAAGCAGCGAGAGATGCTGCTACTGAGTCGCGAAGTTGGCGTAATTCCGCGGCGGTTTCCGATCGCATTATCGGGAGTTCCGCAAATGCATGGATGTGAGATTGAATGATCGCAAACTTATTGTCGTATTCGTCGGTTAGCAGTTGCCACGTAGCAGCATAGTTTTCATCCGCAATTCGAATATTCGCTATTAATCGCGCTGCGTCACCGGTGACACTTGTTTTTAAATAGTGTAATTTTTCTGTATTTGACAGACAATCGTTATTAGTCACTAATGACTCGAAAATACCTTTAAAATTTTCCCACTCCGTAAATTTGCCGGAGAATTTAGGCAATGAAATGCGCGGCAAATGTATCGGACGACGCGTGTCGGAATCAAAAATAGACGATCGATCGCTCGTATTATGCGTAGGAGGGGTTGGACTTAGCTTTTTGATGGCTTCGTTGATCAGGTCCACGGTGACGTCATACGTTTCTTCCGCAGCATAGAATTCCTCCTTGACGAAGTATGGAAGTTCGCTTTTTTCCTTGGGCGTGACTGCATGCAGAATCCTCACATGAATAGCCTTGCACGATGACCATTGATCGTGAAGCTTCTTCAATCGGCTCTCCAGTTTGATTACAGTTGTCTGTGCTTTGGACAGCTTCTTGACATTCACCAAACTGCGATTGATCGCGTCGATGGTGAATGATTGTTCCGTGAGCAGAAAATCAATGGACTCTGTCATTGTAATAACGTAGATAAGAGTCAACTGATTTGATTGGAAGCGATAGTGCACCGCAGGTAGCGAGGGATGCGGCGGCCGATCAGCGGCGCTTCACTTGCTTAATATTTGTTGTTCCGGTGCAACAGCACTCACCGAATGGCGTGTAATATCGTGATACTCATTTACTGAGAGATAGCCAGCTCCGGAGCACTGTTTCATGCACGATAGGTGTTGATCGCCACTGTAGGGCACTGGTATTGTCGCCAGTGTTGTTTCACGTGGGCACTGTGTGATTGTGCGCACGGCTAGATGGGGCGCGCACGTGTTCACTGGCGTGGGTCGCACGTGATTTGCGAAGTCCGAGGAATGTTTCAGATAATGCCGACGACTATGTAATGCCGCAATTTTTTGAGAATTGCACTGTACACTGTACTATATGATAAGGTTCAGCTTGCAGTCCAATAACGCCAAGAATCCGGCTCGAAGGACCAAAAAAAATGTTCGCGAGATTTTTTATGCACGTTGCGTGGTTCTCTTGATCGAGAGTGAGCTTGCGTTCTCTTTCCGTATCGCGAACGCTTTTAATTATGGATTGTTTTTTGGGATCTTGAGATTGGCGGTTAAGGAGAGAGGCAAAGCCGATGTTCACTAAGCACCGTCACGTATTTTATTGTACAGAAGCACAGAATAATGGATACTGATTATCGGAGCGGAGCGTGATCTCTCGCTGCCGGTCGTCGTCGGACTGACTCACAAACACCGTGCCTCGGCGAGGTCTCGGCGAGAGAGCGAGAACAAAAGCCAATTTCTGACAAACAAAATTCCTGAGCTCGCACATACAATACGAAGATTCGAGAATCGTTCTCGAATATGATTTTCAATTAATGATCGCAGAAATCAATAAGAGTTTCCGCAACAAGCTCGAACCTTGAATTTTGTCTCAAATATTCAAAAAACAAGAAATAAGAAATGTAGACTATTTTTACCATTTGTTTTTGTCCTTCCTCATTAGTTTTTAATGCGATGTCGAAATCAAGTAATTTTGTAAATTTCTTGAAAGGTTTGTTCGGAATAAGAGAAAAAGTACTACTACAGCTTGAACCAGATGCTGAGAGCAGTGGAAGCGAATTATTTGTACGCTCTAATTGCTTTAAAAATGCATTTTGTTGTTCCAATAATTTTTTAATCGCAATCGTGTTTTGCAGGATTGAAACAATATTCTGACTATCTGAAATATAAATTTACAAATTATATTACTATAAACAAAAGAACAATAAATATGAATGATTACCTGCTGGAAAATTTTCAAAAATGATATCGGTTGGTATCATATTATTTACTGGATTAACAGCATCTTTAGGATCTAAATAATGGAAATTTTTAGTATCATTATTGTATTTATTTAATATTAAATTAATAAATTAATAGACACTATATATATATTAAGCGGGATTACTTAAAATCGACTTGTATTGTTTAATACCTTATTGTACCAAAAATTATTTGTTTATACCTTCATCAGAAGTTACATGGTCTTCAGAGGCAATATTATTCTTTTTATTTTGACTCACGTTTATTGCTGTTTCATCCATATTTTCGATATCCTTGTCCAAGTTTTGGTTATCATCATTAATCAAATCTAAATGTATAAAAAATTACACTATTAAGCATTACTTTATTTGCAAGTTAAAAAAATAATGTTAAAGATTTATAAAAATAATATATATATTTATTTATTGTTATATCATTTGTCAACTGTTCATTTTCTAAATGCAAATCCATGACAGTCATTAACGGAGATGGTGTCATTCGCGGATTTGAATCGTCATCATTTAAGTTGTTTGCTGTAACTGGTTGGAATGTTTTCTTTTTTCTTTTCCCTCGGCCTAATTGCGAACATGATGTATCTGATGTATCGGTTCGAATTTTTTTATGTACAACATCTATAGCTTCCTTATATGAATCTGTAATTACAAATTATTTTATTAATTGTCTATATATATACATACATTTGTATTACATGATTTATATAAGTCTTTTCCATAACCGTATTCATAAATATTGGGAAGTTATGATTTGATATATTAAATACGAAAAAGTCATTTTTTTAATATAAAACATGTTTAATTAAGATATTATCTTATTATATACTATCAATATTTTTATGACAATACTTACTACTTTGAAATATTAGTTGCACTATGTATTTTTGCCAATTGTCTTTTGGGGGTTCTTTCCGTAATATATATTTCCTAACATTTTTTTCCGGCCATTTACACATTATTTGATCATTTGTAAATGTCATCCATGAGGTTGGTACAACTTCTACAGCGTTTGATTGGCCTTCTATATTGATAAATTCAATCACTGACCAAGTCTGCAAAGCATATAAACCATTTAATTTTCAATTAATAAACATTATTATAATGTTATAATATGATATACTCGTACCTACTAAAAAATACCTAAACTATTATTTGCAATTATATTATATTTTATATTATTCTTGCATATGAATCAATGGCATGATGCTAAAACCATCGTCGTAAGGAAATTTCACACATTTCCCTTTAATGTCGTGAATATTGACTGTGTACAAATCATATGACAAATGTTGTGTTTGCTGAATATTAAATAATTCTGAGGAACAAGGTGAACTGAAAAATGGTTTTGATTCAATGAATTTTCTTCCCTTTAAAAAGATTTCTGAAGTCTTGATTTCTTTATAAATACTTTCGACACAAAATACACAATTGTTTTTTAACATAACGCAATTATCTTTATCACATGTGCTTAGTTCAAACTTTTCAATGATTACTGTTTTGTAGAATATAAAATCTTGTTTATGAAATTGATCAGTACATTGCTGACGTAAAATTGGATACGTTTTTTCATTATCATTGTTTTGCATATATTCTTGTTCTTTTAACCTATTACAAATTTGTTGTAAAGGATTTCTTGTAGCTTGAATTGTTTTTTTTATCTCAAATAAATAATTTTCATATTTAAAACAACTGAAAGTGTCAAGTGGACCATGTTGCAAGCAATCTATGGGCAAATGTATAAGGCCATGAACATTATGAGTAATATATTCTTTTCCGTAAAGTATTGCATATTTTTGAACAAAGTATTCGAGTAGTTTCAATGAATAATTATTATAAATTCTGTATAATGCAGGACTGCATAAAATTCGAATAGCGCAGGATAAGGCCATGAAATGTGTGTATATATTTTTGTTTGCAATCTTTTTTAAAACAATTGGTCCGGTGTATAATAAAAATTGCCTTAATTCAGTGGCTTTATAGTATTCAATGTCCTCTAAACTTCTTGGCAAGCGTGGAAAATCTTTCGGCACATAATTCTTCAAAAACAATAATTGATTATTAATATCATTTTTATCAGTCTCGGGTAAACGATGATTTTTTTTCCCTCTTATCCAAAACATAATTAATCTTTTAACTACGCCTAGAAATACAAGATGCATGCCATCGAGAGGAACTTGAGATACGAAACCAATATTTAGCTTTTCGAAAGGACTTGTATCTTTATGGAATTCCTCATCTAATTTATTTCTGATACTGAAATCAGTCCGCAATTGTGCATTTGTTTGTAAAAAAGTCATTCTTCCATTAACAAAGGTCCCTTCTTGAATGCATTTTGTGCAGGCATTATAGCCTGTATGACCTTTAATACATAAAATAAATGATTTTGCAGGAGCATCACAAAGAAGTTTACCAACCTTTACTTTTATTATTTTTTTATTTATGTTAAAACCATTTTGTTCTAAATGTTTGAACTCTGTTATAAACTCAGTTAAAAATTGGTCTACATAGGCTGGTTTCTTGTGTCCGTGATATATCCCAGCCGCAAAAGGTTTTTTAATATTTTTATCAACCAGATTTAGATCTATGGAGATAAGAATAGGCCAGAGTTGACTTTTTGAAGAATTAGATATCGGTAAACCATCAATGTTTATGTTAAGAGGTAATACTATTTCTACATTTTGCATCAAATGTTTTTGCATATTTAAACTATTATTAATTATCCTACGTAGTCCATTCTCTATGCCAATGTGACAATAGAAACCTGGAGGAACACTTTTAAGTTCATATGGACATGAACTTGGTGTTTTTAAAAGAGTTCGCGAGTCTTTTGCTAATTGTGGAAATATCACTCGTAGAATACCCAACAATTCATTCATGGCAGATTGACTAAGCAAATGTCTGTATTTTAAAAACCATTGTTTCACAGCGTTAACTATGAAATCATTTACAATAGGGAGATTATTACATAAATTTTCAAATGATAAAGAAGTATCTGAACAGTTAATTTCTTCAATCACATCAATATATTCCAATGGTTCAATCTCAATTTTTTCTGGAATCTCGGGAATCACATTATCATGGTTTTCACATTGTTCTTGTTTTTCATTATGTTTCTTTGCAGTATCTACATTTATATTTGTAGTATTTACATTTATGACAGTATCTACATTTATAATTGTTTTTATGTTATTAGGCAAATTATTCGTCTGAATTAATTGTCGATTCAACTGCAAGATGTGTATTAATTCTTTTTTTACCATCCGTCTCATATGACGTTTTGTAACAAAACATTTTTTTATTTTAGCCATTATTGTTTTAATTTTTATGTCAGTATTGCTATTATTGACTTGATAAAAAAATCACTGAAAAAATTAAAATCATTCACATGAGATGCTCATATAGTTAATACGTAGTTTTTAAGATTTTATGGTATTTAACGTTATTAAAATAATATATATATACACAATATATACTTACATGGCAGGAATCTCGAACGTCACCAACAGGCAGATCCATTGCTTCCAGTTATAAATAAAGATGAATTTAAAATTTAATTATAAAACGACTTATAAAACCTCCAATAAAGCCCAACAAACACAATTGTCTTATTATTATATTTGGGTATTCTTATTCACATACGAAAGCTCCTGAGACGAAACGCCGCGCTCCCTAGTTACGCGTATCAACTC